CGTTCATTGTCCTGGATCTTTTAAGTGTGGATAGTGCAGCAAGGACATGATATAGGTCACTCCCCACTTTGTGTGCATGTCTTGAAATGCTTTACCAGTAAACTGCGGTCCGTTGTCAGATACTCTGTTACGGGACACTAAATAAACTGAATATTGTGGTCATTGTGTTGTGATGATTCCATTCTTTGTGTTGCTAAATTGCTGAACGATAGGAAATTTAGAGAAGTAATCCAACACAAGGATGTAATCTTCCCTATGCACTGCGAATAGATCTTTTGCTAGTTTCATCCAAGGAGTGGATAAAATATCATATGGACATAAAAGCTCCCCTCACTTTGGGGTTGGTCCTTTTGGCATGTCTCGCATGAATTCACAGGTTATTGAATACCCTTATTTACCTCTGGTCAGTCCAAAGACACTCATACTCGCATCTGGTACTGCAACCCCAATGTGCTCCTGGTATAGCATGGTTGATATCCTGGCATAAAGGCATCAGGGCTTGCTTACCTTAAAAATGACATGCCATGAAATACTAAGTTCATCTCTGAATAGCCAAAATAATAATTGTTCCCAGCTACTACTTTAATACTACAGAGTATCCCTGGATAATAGTCATTTGCAGCTCTTGTAGTTCCTCACCTTCACTAATTGCCTACAGCAACTATTTACACTGACTGTCACTAAAGCCGAATGTATCATTTTCAGTTGCATAATGAAGAACATCCAAGTGTCTATCAAAAGAAATATCTTAGTCTTTGTGTGGATTGTATAATCAGGTCAGTGTGACAGATATAACTATCCTGGTATCGGACTTAAAAGTCATATCCTCACACCTGGATTAACAGGCACTACAAAAGTCAAGGTGCATTCGTAAGCAGTTTATAGCAGGTCATTTCTCGCATCTTACATGTTTCAACCATGAAATTCTCATCAAATAAGTGGATGTGAAATTACACAAATGCCAAATATTGGCAGCTAATATTTCACGCAAAATTAGGAAAGTTTGCTTAGACCTTTTGGCGATGCATCCGCTTCAAGAATGATGTCATACCTAAGGTCAGAATATTGCAAGATTTTCCTGACAGAACCTACTTGAGAATCAAAGACGCATTGGCAGTTGTCTTGCCACACTCAAGAGACGTGAATCTTGAGTAGATTTTTCAGTGGAGGCATGGTTTCAGGGACGTTGGGAATATATGGGAAGCAAGAATTATAAAGTCCAAGGCATCATCACAGATCCTTGTTATCCTGGGAGATCAGAATTTGTTTTACTTCCTCTTACTTGGACAGGGACAGACTTCATGAATACAGTAAACAGTCCCATATATGTTTATCTCGTGGATGGTACTGTGTACTATTAAATGTCAATCCATGTTGTGAGCCATCTGCCATCAGTAGAAGGTTGTGGTCTGATCCATGACCATGATATCATCAGCTCACCAAATACTTTCAACAGTTCTATCCATGTGCTGTTAGAATAAGTCTTGATCTACTGATAGTCCAAATAAAAACTATCAGAAACTGTATCATTCAAAAGGCATCCTAAACGTTGAGAGTTCCCGGTATTCTTCTGCTAAATGGACAGGCTGGTGTCCATGTTTCGCATCCAGCTTGGAAAACAATTTTGCTCTTGAAAATTTACAATTCTTCCAGTGTCAGTATTTAGTCATAGATGACTCACCTTGGATGTAGGCATACTCTAATGCCATAAGAGCCCACAGCGTTAGGGGCAAGCTACTGGCATAGACAGAGGATTGGCTGACTGGCAGAAGGCAGAGAGTGGGATAAAAGGGTCTTTTTCAGGATGGCAGCCAGTGACTAGTGGAGTTCTGCTGGTGTTAGTGACGGGACTACAAACATTCATGTGATATGAGGAACTGAGGGCTTTGCTGCTAAATTTGCAGGTGACACAAAGCTAGGTGGTGGTGCAGATAGTGTTGAGGAAGTGGGAAAGCCGCAGAAGGACTTGGACAGGCTAGGAGTGTGTGCAAAGAAGTAGCAATACAATATGGGAAAGTGTGAGGTTATGCACTTTGGTAAGAAGAATAGAGGCATTGAATATTTTCTAAACAGGGAAAGGCTTCAGAAACCTAAAGCACAAAGGGACTTGGGAGTCCTAATTCAGGATTCTCTTAAAGTTAACATGCAGGTTCAGTTGGCAGTTAGGAAGGCAAACACAATGTCAATATTTATTTCAAGAGGGTTAGAATATAACAACAGTAATGTATTGCTGAGGTTGTGTATGGCTCTGGTCAGACTGCACTTGGAATTGAGAGAGCAGTTTTGGGCCCTGTATCTAAGGATGTGCTGGCCTTGGAGGGGATCCAGGTGAGGTTTACAAAAACGATCCTGGGAATGAAGAGCTTGTCATATGGGGAGCAGTTGATAAAGAGCTTGTCATATGGGAAGCAGTTGAGGATTCTGGGTCTGTACTCAGAGTTTAGAAGGATTAGGGGGAATCTCGTTGAAACTTACAGAATACTGAGGTGCCTAGGTAGAGTGGATGTGGAGATGATGTTTCCACTAGTAGGAAAGACTAGGACCTGATGGCACAGACTCAATGAAGGGACAACCCTTTAGAACGGAGATGAGGAGGAAGTTCTTAAGCCAGAGGGTGGTTAATCTGTGGAACTCATTGTCACAGAAGGCTGTGAAAGCCAAGTCATTGAGTATATTTAAGACAAGGTTCTTAATTACTAAAGGGATCAAAAGCTACAGTAAGAAGGCAGGAGAATAGGGTTGAGAAATATCTATATCTAATGGTCTTATCTTCCTTTAAAATGCACATGATGGAATTACACCAATCTGTGCGGTGATCAATCTTCCAAAGTTACAAGGTTTAACTCCTTCTCATCAGTTCCACATGAAACTTCTCTTGAATATGCAAACTGCACTTTCTTGGAGGATCAATAAATGAGATTGTATCATCCTCGTGGCAAATCCTTATCACCATTAAAATTGCTGATTGTGTTGAAGCAGTTTGGTGCCAGGCATTCGAGATCTTTAACTGGTTTGATTGCATTTCGAGTGGTCTGTTCACCACAGGGAGTGCAGATGGAATCTCATGGATGGGAATATACCAAGACTGTGTATACCAGTAATCCTGAGTGTGCTGGATTGCACAAGTTCACTAGGTAGAAAATGGCAGGAAGCCAATACCCAGGTTCGATTCCAGCCTCGGGCGACTGTGTGGAGTTTGCACATTCTCCCAGTGTCTGCGTGGGTTTCCTCCGGGTGCTCTGGTTTCCTCCCACAGTCCAAAGATGTGCAGGCTAGGTGGATTGGCCAGGCTAAATTGCTCGTAGTGCTCAGGGATGTGTAGATTAGGTGGGTTATTGGGGGATGGGTCTGGGTGGGATGCTCCAAGGGCCAGTGTGGACCTGTTGGGCTGAAGGGCCTGTTTCCACACTGTAGGGATTCTATGATTCTATGAATATAAGCTTATATATTGGTACTACAGTGTGATTCTTCCAATGCATAGAATCAGTGATCCATAATACACTGAGACAGTCTCTTATAGGTTGTATTGTGGACCACTACTTGCTGAGGTAATATGTTGGCACAAGCAATTGTGTTGAATTTAGCTTTTAGGGTGTGTCATCTTAATTTTTCAGGACATATGATGTTACTGGATGTGAAAACCTCTGATCACGTTATTCCATTGACATGGTGTGCGAGATTAACAACACAGAAAATATAAGCACCTTTTGAATTGTGCCTTTCGCTTGGGTGACTCTGAACCCTGTAGATGTGTTTGTACATCATCTGAACACTTTCCTTGCTTCTAGTGTTGCAGTGTTTCACTATCTTGTGGTCACCTATGTTTTCTTCTGCAATCTGACTTGACCTTTGTAAGCAGATTTTCTGTACGCATGCCCAATGCCTCTTGGTGCCACATGCTTTTCAGATATCAAAATAAGCTGTGCAGTGTTTGAACTGGTGCAGCAAACACACCAATTATAGATTTTGTTGATTTGTTCCACTTTACTCACCATAGCATATATCTATCAGCATATCATGCACCAAGTGTCCCGAGTCAAGATCAGAGTCTGAGACCTTTCTCCTCTCAGGTCGCACACTATTGTATGAAGATGACATTGTCAGCATGTCCCTTAAAAGGTATACAGACATACTGGGAAACACAACAGCACTAATGTTATGTGTAAGTCAGACCAGACAGATGTAGCAAGTTCTCTTTCCTAAAGGACAATCTAGCATATGAACATATGAATTAGAAGAAGGAGTAGGCCATTTGGCCTCTCAAGCCTGCTGTGTCACTCAATAAGATCAGAGCTGACCAGATTGTGGCCACATCGCCATTTTCCTGCCCAACCCCTGCAGGCTCCAATTGGATTAATACTGAGGAGTGCATTAAGGACTACAGAATATGTGATGTCATAGGGATTCGGGTGGGAAAACCAGGAGATAGGTCTACCATCTAGGTCTCTCCATATTCTCAGTAACAAAGTCTGTCATGCCAGTGCATCTTGTACATAGTTGCCATCATGCAATAAACTAAATCTTTTTAAAAACAAGAGCTTCTACTTGTTAAACTGCCTGGGTAACTTTCCTCTAAATCAGTCTAGTCCTATAGGTCTCAACCTCAAAAAGGAGGATAGTGGCAGCAAATTTACTCATTGTAAAGCAAGGTAACTGTGGTGAGGACCATCATACAACGTGCTCTATACCCTTTGAATCTCTCGATCAAGAATTACTGCTGTCTGGGGAGAAGACTTCCACTGACCTTCAACCCTCAAAACAAACAAAAAATTCTCATCTCTGCCTTAAAAGCTAACAACTTTTACGGTTTTCTTTTTCTGATATTATCCCACAAGGTAATGGATTTATTGAATTAAATCTCCCATCCTACTATGGCGCAGTTATGAATTAATGATCATAAGTTCGGTTTTGCAATCATAGGCCCCAAAAACACACATTTGATGTGTATTTTGACTTAATGTATTCACTCATTCCACCTACGTATAAGTGAATTCACTTACTTCCTGTTCCGCTCTTTCACCACCATCCTGGTCATGCTCTGGATGCATTGTGCTCGGTAGTTTTCATAGTGCACGTCACGGGTCACATCTTTCAGATCCTGCATGTGTGTTCGAATCAACATGTTTCGTAATCTCACAAAGTCACAGTGAGCAGGATTCTCCACTGCAAAGAGGAAGAGCATAGAAGGTATCAGTAGTCATAGTCAGTACATTAACAGATAGATCTAAATGGTGCAAAGCTTCTCATTATACACTCATTTTTGTTATGTGGGTTGGTTAATGCATGACTAATTTGCATTATAGCAAGGCCCCACAAACAGCAATGAGACAAATGACCAGTTAGTTTGATATTAATGGTGTCAATGAGTGCAAATCATTGACCAAAAGATCAGGAAAACTCTGTTGCTCAAATAACATCACAGAACTTTTTTCTCCCCCCTTTATTCATTCACGGGATGAGGGCATTGTTGGCTAGGCAGCATTTATTGCCCATCCCTAATTGCCCAGAGGGCAGTTAAGAATCACATTGCTGTGGGTCTGGAGTCAGATGTAGGCCAGACCAGGTAAGGATGGCAGTTTCCTTCCCTACAGGACATTAGTGAACCAGATGGGTTCTTCCTGACAATTGACAATTGACAATGGATTCATGGTCATCATTAGACTCTTAATTCCAGATATTTATTGAATTCAAATTCCACCATATGCCGTGGTGGGATTTGAACCCAGGTCCCCAAGACATTATCTGGGTCTCTGGATTAACAGTCCAGCGATAATACCACTAGGCCATCACCTCCCCACTAACATTCATGGAAACAGAGAAGGGACAGCCTCAGTTTTCATCACATCCAAAGGCTAACACTTTCAACAAAGCCACCTTTCCTTAGTGTTGTGTGTCGTGTCAGACCAGGTTAATACTCAAGTCACACCATCACTTCATGTGGGCAAGAATGCTACCAAGGGAGTTTGGAAAAGATTAGACATACATCAAACCCAATTATTAAATGGTAATACAGAGTGAACTGCTTTTAACCTGGCTTCTCTTTAAAGCCACTGCTTGGTAACTCCATATAAAGAGGTGGTCTAAAATGGCATACTTTGAAATGCAATTGGAGGTGAATTGCTGGGGTGGGATTCAGTAAATTAACGGAAAGCCGTAAACCCCATCTTAAAAGCGCTGTGGATAGTTGAATTCTTAAATAAAAGCAGAAAGTACTGGAGAAACTCAGTAGATCTGACAGCATCTATGGAGAGAGAAACTGAATTGATTATGTTTCTGTTACAAGGAAATAATGCCCTTTCAACTACTCTATCCAGGACCCTCAATTACAAACAATTCAGCCTTAGCCTTCTCTAAGAACCCTAAACTATCCAATCTTCCTTTACAGTGAAAATACTCCAGTCCAGAAAACCTCCTTGTAAATCTCTTCTGTACCATTCTCTGCAATGTGGGATATGGGCATGACTGACCAGACTATTACATTGATCCAGCTAAATCTCCTGGTCTTTATCCTTTAAGCAAAGGTGCAAGACAAAAATATTTAGATTGAACAAAAACTTTAAAAAAAATACACAATTACCTTCAACAATTCCCCAGGGATACAGTCGCCCCCGAACTCTCCTTCCTTTGGCTTCAACCACGGTATTGCTACCGATCACAGTGAATGGGATGCTGTCCTGGAAGAGAACATTAAAGGCCAGAAAAAAAGAAAATGTTGAAATTAATATACTTCTTTGAATATTAATACTTCTGTTTGGAAGGAGAATCCACTGCATTGACCACTGAGCAGTGGTATAGAGAATTGAGTCTCAGGGGAGAATAATGACTATATTACAAAAACCATACAGAAGCTATGTTCCAACTTTTTTTCTATTTACTCATGGAATGTAAACATGACTTGACCAGCATTTGTAGCCAATCTCTAACTGCCAATGAGAACTGGTGGTAAACTGACTTCTCAAACCATTACAATCCATGTGTGTATGTTGCTAGTGGAGGGAATGAATATTAATGCTGGTGAATGGTGTGTCAAACAGGTTGCTTTATTCGGAATGGTGTTGAGCGTCCTAAGTGTTATTGGAGCTGCACTCATCCAGGTAAGTGTTAAGTATTCATCACATTCCTGACTTATGCCTTGTAGATGGTAGACAAGTTTTGGAAAGATACTTAGGGAGTCATTTGCCACAGAATTGTTAGCTTTATGTGGCAAGACCAGTTGAGTTTCTGGTCAATGGTCATGTCCAGGATGTTGATCTTGCATTTTGCTATTGCTTGCTGCTTCTGCTATATGGTATGGAAGGAGTCCTGCATTACAACTTTACCAGGTTGACATCTGATTTTTAGGTATGCCTGATGCTGCTCCTAACATGATCTCCTGCATTCTCCATTGATCCACAGTTGGTCCCCTGGCTCATTGGACTGATATAGTGGGAGATATGCTGAGCTTTGAGATTACTAGTCATGGTTGACGACAATTGTACTGTTGCTGATGCCTCACAATGCCTCATGGATGTCCATTTTTGAGTTGCAAAACATGTTAAAGTCTATCCCATTTAACATGGTCGTAATGCTACACAACCTGATGAGGGGAATCTTCAATGTGAACACCAGTCCACCATCTTCACAAGAAAGTGCGGTGGTCACTCCTATTGATACTGTCATGGACAAATGAATCTGTGGCAGGCAGATTGGCAAGGGGGAGGTCAAATATGTTTTTCCTTCTTGTTGGTTTGCCCACTATCTGCGTCTGACCCAATCTAGCAACTACATAGGACTCCACACACCTGGTTAGTGGCACAGCTGAAGGCATTTAACAGTCACTCCTATTAAATGTTCCTCACCTTCAGTTCCTGATCTTGTCGTTTAAATTCTTCATCCTCATCAGAGTCACATTCCGGAAACTGGTAGATATTGATCCCGTAGAATTTGATTTCCTCACGGATCTGAGGAGGAAATGTTAGAAAATGTAACTAGAAAAGGCATTTTTGAGTTACCTATCTGGAGAACAGAAGCTCAGGACAAAAGTCTAAACACCATCTGCTGGTGGAAGGCAAGTACAGTCACAATTCTCTGATAAATGGGACATTCCACTTACAGCTTACACAATGTACTCTTGCACGGGCTAAGAAATCTTCACCCCAATCTGGTTGTCTCTAAGTCTTGATCAGCTTTAAGCTGCGTATTTAGGGTTGAATGCATTTGTTGACAAGATTTGGATATTTAAATGATGGTAAAACTAACATGTATAAACCGATATGCAACCAGCGAATCACATTCTTTATACAGTTAGTGAAGGCAATATTTCCATAGCAATACAAAATAATTTAACAGTCATTAATAATCTTGCTCAGTCAAACTGTAGCATGGCAGGTTAGGAAATAAAACAACACAGAATTAGATCTGTGTAGAGACCCCTCTATTCAGCATCTAATTTTACTACAGCTAGCTGGATTTTGATACTCATTTCCTGCAAATGAAAGACACCCGTTCCTCAACACTGATACATTACCTCTGGATAAGGACAAAAACCTCACACAAGTTTTGTTTTCTGACTTTATTAAGTTCTGTTAGAACCCAAATAAAACAACCGCAGGATTCAAAGTAAATTTGACAGCATCGGGTTGATGTTTCAGGAATGAGCGTGTCACCAGGTTCCTGGCAGTCACTATGTTGCTGATAATTCTAACTGAGGACAAGGCTTCATTGGTTATCGCGGACTTTACATCAGTCTACATGGCAGATAGCATTAACAACATTTCAAAAATACTAAATAAGCAGTCAAGGAGCAAAAAAATAAAGACATGAATACAACTATTAGAAAAAAAGTACTAATAAATTAATGGGGCTAAACTCTGCTAAGTCCCTAGCCCTGAAGTAATGCATCCAAAGATATTAAAGAAAGTAACTGGAGAGATAATGGATACACTGGTAGTACTTTTTCAAGAATCCTTAGATTCTGGAGAACTTCCAATGTGACACCTTTATTCTAAAGGGGAAAGAAGCAAAATTACAGGTAACCATGGGCCAGTTAGCCTAACATCTATTATTAGAAAAACGTTAGAGTTGATTATTAAGGTTGCAATGGCAAAGCATTTATAACTGCACAATATAAATCAGGCAGAGTCAGCATGGCTTCACAAAAGGGGAAATCATGCCTGACAAATTTATTAGAATTTGAGGCGGTAACAAGCAGGATAAAGGGGAACCGGTGGATAACATACTTAGACAACCAGAAGGCATTTGAAAAATTACCATAACCATTAGGCTATTTAATAGTATAAGAGACAATGGTATTGGGTGGTATATTAGCATGAATAAAGAATTGGCTTACTAATAAAAGACAGAGAGACAGAGGCAAATAGGTGGAAAGGCAAGTGGTGAAGAATGACACAAAGATTCTACAGAGGGATATAGACAGGTTAAGTGAACAGGCAAAAACTTGGAGATGGAATATAATGTGGGAAAATGTAAGGTTATGCACTTTGGCAGGAAGAGTACAGGAGCGAATATTAATCAAATGGAGAATGACAGCAGAATGCTGCAGCATGGGGCTTTGGAACTCCTCGTGCATAAATCACAAAAAAAGTTAACATACAAGTTCAGCTGGTAATTTAGAAGGCAAAGGGACTGTAGACCTTATTTCAAATGTAATGGTAAATAGGGAGGTTCTGCTAGATCTATACAAGTTACTCAAACCCACCAGTTTTGCACTTCTCATCTAGGTAAACATATACTACCATTGGGGGCCATCAAGAGAAGGTTTATTAGATTGACCCCAGCTTTGGAGGGATTTTTTAATGGAGATGTTTAGTAGGTTGGGCCTTTACATATTGGAGTTCAGAAGAATGAGAAGTGATTTTACTGAAACAAACAGGATTCCTTGTGGTCCTGACAGGATAGATGCAGAAAGGTTTTGCCCCTTGTAGGAGCATCTAAGACTAGAAAGCATAAACTCAATAAGTAAGACAGAGATAAGGAGAAATTTCTTCTGAGAGTATAGGCAATCAGTGGAATTCTTTGCTGCAGAAGGAAGGCTATACAGGCTGGGATATTAAGGTATTAATAGCTGAGATAGAGAGATTTTGAAATAGCAGTCAGTTAAGCAGTCAATACTGCACTATACAATATGTATAACCTTAACTCCAGGCTACAATGGAAAAGCTTCTACCTGTAAAATAAGCAGGCAACAACCTATATTTGTGCTATATGCAAGTAATCATCTTTTGTTTATTCACCGAAACAGTGAAGCAGAAATTACCTTTCAACAAAACTTCCCCAGAAGACATTAAATATTTAAAAGAAAAGAGATTTTTAAAAGGATTTTAAACTACTGTCTGGCCAATAAACAAAACAAATCTAGGCTGCTGACTTCAGCTTTAGACTTTTAAATTCCATTTAAAGACAGGAGGACTGTTTAATTAGTTTCTTGCTTTGTATTTAGGTTGTTGCTAGTTGGATAATGTCGAGGAAGTGCAGCGAAGGTTTAACAGGCCGATTCCGGGTCTGACGTATGACGAGGGATTGACTAGGTTGGGATTGCTTTCACTGGAATTCAGACGAATGAGGAGGATCTCAGAGACTTATAAAATTTTAACAGGACTGGACAGGGTAGATGTAGGGAGAATGTTCCCAATGGTGGGTGTGTCCAGAACCAGGGGTCACAGTATGAGGATTCAGGGTAGACGATTTAGGATGGAGATGAGGGGACATTTCTTCACCCAAGGAGTGGTGAGCCTGTGGAATTCAATACCACAGAAAGTAGTTGATGCCAAAAGATTGAATGTATTCGAGAGGTGATTAGATATAGCACTTGGGGCAAATGGGATCAAAGGTTATGGGGAGAAAGCAGGATTAGGCTATTGAGTTGGACGATCAGCCATTATTGTGAAGAATGGTGGAACAGATTCGAAGGGCCAAATGGCCTCCTCCTGCTCCTATCTTCTAGGTTTCTGTATTATTCCTTCTGAATTATTCCCCACTCTCTAAGAGTATGTGAAATACAACGCCCACGTCTGGCTTAACATTACCGCATTATTCATCTGCTCCTTACAAATCACAGCAAATGCAGAAAACGTGCCCCCACAGTTTTAAAGGAGGAAGAATAAATCAGTCTGCTGCATACAAGCAGAGAGAATAGGCTTAGCAAGTTGTTTTAAAGATTGTATTCAGTTTTTAACAGTTGTGTGTCTTCTGGTAAAAGGATATGTCAAGGTCAAGGGGTATTCATTCATTCTCCCATTCACAATTAGAGATCAGACAAACACGGTTCCTGGTAAGGTTTAATTTTGGAGTTCTGAGGAAGGGTCACTCGACTTAAAACGTTGACTAATTTCTCTCCACAGAAGCTGCCAGACTCGCTCAGCTTTTCCAGCAATTTCTGTTATTGTTTATTTTTGGGGTGATGGCTGGTTTTATTTGATCCAGTGCAGACGTGAGGCCCAATTTCTGTTGGGAACAGATAGTCAGTGCCCTAACTTTCTAAAGACCATAACAACATCGTGGTCAAGTTAAATTAGAAAATGGAGTTTATTTTGTCCACTATTGGATGGGACAGAAACTGCTTCACAACATGGACAAGCATACAAACACACATGGAGAGATAAAATAAAAGAAAGAAGTTGGAGATCATTCAATTAGTAACAAATAAAAAAACAAAGGATACCAGAGATCAAACATTTCCTTGCTCCTTTGGACCTTGCTACAGTCCAAAGTCTGTAGGGAATTAATAGTCTTAGAAACTCTTCATAGGATACGAGCAACAGTCGCTCTTCCCCATTACACTTGGCACCATCCCTCACCTCATCCTCCACTACATTGATGACTGTATTGGCACTGCCTTGTGCTCCCATGAGGAGCTTGAACAGTTCATCAACTTTACCTACACCTTTCATCCCAACCTCAAATTCACCTGGACCATCTCTGATACCTCTCTCTCCTTCCTGAACCTCTCCGTCTCCATTTCCGGTAACTGCCTCAGCAGTAACATCTATTTCAAACCCATTGACTTCCACAGCTACCTGGACTACACCTCCTCTCACTTACCCTCCTGCAATAATGCGATCCCTTGCTCCCAATTCATCCGTCTCCGCCGCATTTACTCCCAAGATGGAGCGTTCCACTCACGGACATCCCAGATGTCCTCTTGCTTCAAGGACCACAACATCCCCCTCCCTTCATTGAGCCACAAAGTCCTCAACCTCATCTCTTGCATTTCCCGCACTTCTGCCCTCAAACCCTCTTCCCCCCCACAACAAAAATAAAGACAGAATCCCGCTTGTCCTCACATACCACCCCACCAACCTTCGCATCCAGCACATCATCCTCCGCCACTTTCGCCACCTACAATCCGTCGCCACCACTAAAGAGATATTTCCCACCCCACCCCAACTGCCTTTCATAGGGACCACTCACTCCGCGACTCCCTCATCCGCGCCACACTCCCCACCAATCCCATCACCCCAGCAGCTTTCCCTGCAACTGCAAGAGGTGCTACACCTCCCCTCTCATCTCCATCCAAGGCCCAAAGCAAACTTTCCACATCCGACAGGAGTTCACCTGTACATCCTCCAACCAGGTCTACAGTAACCGTTGCTCCCGATGTGGCCTCCTCTGCATCGGGGTGAGACCAAGTGCAGACTCGGTGACCGATTCGTGGAGCATCTGCGCTCCGTACGCTATAGTCAACATCACCTTCCGGTTGCTAACCATTTTAACTCCCTCCTCCCATTCCCTGGATGAAATGTCCATCCTTGGCCTCCTCCAGTGCCACAATGACGCATGCCACACATGAACTGGAGCAGCAACACCTCATATTCTGCCTTGGGAGCCTACAGCCCAATGGCCTTAATGTAGAATTCACCAGTTTCAAAATCTCCCCACCCTCGGCCTATGTCCAATCCTCCCTCTCATCCCCACCTCCTTGACCTGACACTACTTGTCCATCTTCTTTCCCACCTATCTGTCCCACTCTTCCCACTGACCAAACCCCACTGTCCCCGACCTGCATCCACATATCACCATCCCACCTAACTTTTGCCAGCCCCTCTCTATTTATTTCCAAGCTCCCTCCCCAGTCCTGATGAAGGGTGTAAACCCGGAAAGTCGACCTTCCTGCTCCTCTGACGCTGTCTGACCTGCTGTGTTCCTCCAGCTCCACACTTTGTGGGGATTGGCTGATTGACTAGCTAGAAACTAAGGAGTTACAGCAATCTTCTCAGTTTAAAAAGCTTCAAAAGTCTTCTGAGGAAATTTTGCTGAAATGTTAACTTCTGCTTCACTATTTTGATAACAGAATATTTTACCTGCAGAAAGCATAAAGCAAAGATTGTTGTTTTTTTTTAAGACAGGCCAAAAGCTTTTCCGTTGTAGTGGGAGTTAGAGGCGTTGATTGTTGTTAGTACATCAATAGAATAGCACTGACCCCTTCACTAATGGCTATTTCAAAATTCAATGATTAAAAGGCAGTTGGCTTCACTACAATGGGAGACATGTGACCTAGTCGCCTGGCAAGGGTAAAGACAATTACTATGGAGACAAAGGCTTCCATTACAAATAGCCAACTGCGTATGGCCCATTCCAGAGGTCAAGTAGAATATAATGAACACAGTGTAATTTGGATTTCTATTTGTTAAATAGAATTTTTTAAAAAAAAAATTCGAGATAGACATTTCTGTGTCAGGTTATTATACAATTGCAATCATTTCAAACCCATCAGGAGGTACCTTACTCTTTATTGTCTGGCTAATATTGACTTTGGGGAAATTTCTAGAAGGTTATTGCTAAAGTCACAATCACAGCAGCCTTATTTGTTGGGCTGTTTAATGTGTTTTTAAAACACTCATTAAAATATGTAAATTTATATATGTAGATAGATAGATATTAAAGATTGTTTTTTTTGCTCAGTTTGTAACACTGGAGAAAATGAAGACCACCATTGGCAAAAGAGCTCTAAGCCCTAGAACGCTCTCTCACAACCTCCGACTCTTTACCTTTCTTTTCCCATGTAAGATACTCATTCAAACCTGGCCAGGCTTTCGGCCATCTGCTTCAAAATCACTTTGTGGCTTGGTGTATACTTTGCCTCAAAAACGCTCCTGTGACACTATCTGGAATTTCAAATATCATGTCATTGACTCACTAAGAATAAGACAAACTCAGTTTGAACCCTATCTTCTGGCTCAGAAGTGATAGACCTATCAACTGAGCCCAGATGACATCTGAAAATTCTATGACATTGCTGCTTAGTGACCAGAGTATCCCTTCCCTCAGGACTATTAACTAATTGATAACACAGAATTCTAAGTTTAACCCATTTGTTGCTGCTAAACAGTGGAATAAGTGGCCTTCAGAACGAAGGCCAATGTGTCAATTCCGATCCATCTCATTGTGTTGGTTGTGACTGACATAAACAATCCATTTACCTTGGGCTTCATTTTGGAAACCTCTGCAGGAGTCAGTGTGTCAGCTTTAGCGAGGAGAGGTACAATGTTCACCTTATCATGCACAGCTTTCATAAATTCCACATCCAATGGCCGTAACCTTCAAGATCAAACAAAATTTAAATCACAAGAAAGTCTCGGTTCTGGCTATTGTCAATTTGATAGAGTTATTTTACCTTAGAATTAAAAGTTATCACAATATTGTTTATAGTGTTCTTCTGAGAGGTTTATCTCATGGAGGATTAAGTGCCATATATTTATAGGAGGTGATGGCCTAGTGTATTATCACTAGGCTGTTAATCCAGAGACCCAAGTTAATGTCCTGGGGTCCCAGGTTCGTATCATGCCATGGCAGAAAATGGAATTTGAGTTCAATTAAAACAAAGTCTGGAATTAAGAGTCTAATGATGACCATGAGCCCATTGCCAATAGTTAGAAAAACCCTTTAGGGAAGGAAATTGCCATCCTTACCTGGTTTGGTCTACATGTGATTCCAGACCCATGGCAATGTGGTTGACTCTTAACTGCCCTCTGGGCAATTAGGGATGGGCAATAAATGCTGGCCTAGCCAATGACGCCCGCATCCCATGACTGAATAAAAAAAAATCCTGTCACACGTTGGCAAGACACTGGCACTTTACACGAGATTCGAAACCAAACAGTTTTTTTTTTAAAATAAGGAGTTGTTTTCGTTTCAGAGAGTCCTACACTTGGTCAGCTCCAGAGAAGATTTTCTTTTCTTCAAGGAATTTATTGAAGAGAAATCAATTTTATTCAGTTAATCGGGTTAGCGGTTGATCTTATTTAATTTTTAAATGTTTGATATTTTTTAATTTTTTCCCGTTTTAACAATATCAAGGTAACGAAAGGTAGTTTATTTTATATAAAAGGTGTTATTGAAACATTCCTTTTTTAGGCAATGTTTTTACAGCCATATATAAAGGTACAGAGTGAGATAGCTAGTAGATTCAGAAAAGTTATTATCCAGCAGGATCAGTCAGATAGAAGGCTGACTGTCAGGAAAGGTAAGAAGGTAGTTCAAAAGTCTCCAGTTGCTATTCCTCTATCAATAGATAATTCAGTTTTTGGAACATTTGAAGGAGATAGTCTCTCTGAGGAAAATGGAAGGGCCAGTCAGTTATTGGACACTTGGAATGATTGTTATGTTAGGCAGCGTTTGACAAGATTTAATAGAGTTATTGTTATAGGGGACTGTCCTGTCAGGGGCATAGACAGGTGATTCAGTGGCAGTGAGTGCAAATTTAGGATGGTTTATTGCTTTCCTGGTGCTAGAATTAAGGACGTTTCTATTTGTTCCAAGCATATTGTTAAAGGTTAGATTGAGAAGCCAGAAATTATTGTATACATTGGTAGGAATAACATTTTTAGGGAAAAGATTAAAGCAGTACAGGTGAATTTCAAAGGTTAGGTAGAAGATTAAAAAATAAAATGTTAAAAGTAGTAATTTCTGGTTTACTCAAGATGCCAAACTCAAATGAGGAAAGAAACTAAAGATTAAAGGTGATAAATCAATGGCTGAAGAGCTGGTGTGTTGTTCAGAGATTCTGGTTTTTGGACAATAGGACTGAGTTTTGGGATAGAAAACACCTGTCCATAAAGGATAAGTCTAACCTAAACTGGAAAGAGATCAATATCCTAGCAGGGAGACTTGCTCATTCTATTAAGGGAGACTTTATGCTGATAGAGAAGGCGAATAGAGGAATTCTAAGTAGCAGTGTAAATGGAAGGATTGATGGGGTTGGTAGGTTCTGGATGTAAGGAGAGCACATCAATTAGAAAAGAAAGACAAGAGAGAGTCAGGGTTTATTTCAATGCAAGGGGTAAGGCTGATGAACTCAGGATATGTTTAAGAACATGGGATTGGGACATCATAGCTATTACAGAAACGTGGCCGAGAGATGGACAAGACTGGCAGCTCAATGTTCCTGGTTTTAGATCCTACATGAAGGTTGGAAAAGAAGGCAAGAAAGTGGGGGGTGGGGGGCGCGCTTTTGATTAAGGAATAAATTACTGCTGTAACGAGGGAAGATATTTCTGAAAAAAAAAGTAGCCCAGTTAAAATATATGGGTATTTAAGAAATAAGAAATAAGAAAGGAAAGATTACTGTGATGGAATTGTACTATAGGCCCTCCAATAGTAAGAAAGAAATTGACAAAAAAATGTGCAGGGAGATATCAGATATATGTAAGCAAAACAAGGCTGTATTAATGGAGGATTTAAATTTTCTAAACATTGACTGGGACTAGCGTAGTGTTAAAGGTTTGGATGGTGAAGAATTTGTCAAACGTGCTCGAGAAAATTTTCTTTATCAATATGTGAATGCTCCTACTAGAAAAGGAGCAAAACTAGACCTTTTGGGCATAAGGCAGGGCAGCTGACTGAAGTAAAAGTGGGGGAACACTTTGGGTCTAGTGATCATAATTCTATTAGTTTCAAAATAGCTGTGGAAAAGGATAAGCTTCCGTAAGAGTTAAAGTTTTTAATTGGAGTAAGGCAAATTTTAAATGGTATGAGACAAGAACTTTCAAAAGATGATTGGAGTAGACTTTTCGCAGGCAAAAAGGATGTCTGATGAGTGGGAGGCATTCAAGAGTGTGATGACGAGAGTTCAGAGGCATTTTGTTCCTGTTAGAGTGAAGGGTAAGGCTGGTTAGATTAAGGAACAATGGATGAATAAAGATATTGAGGTTCTAGTCAAGAGTAAGAGAGAATCTTATTTTAGATTAAGAGATTCATTTGAATCAATATATCAATACAAAAAGAGTGTACAGGCATTCTTGAGAGAGAAATCAGGAAGGCAAAGACAGGATATGAGATAACATTGGCAGATAAGGTTAAGGATAATCCAAGGAGTTTCTACAAATACATTAAGAGCAAGACGGTAACGAGGGAGGGGGTTGAGCCTCTTAAGGATCAAGGAGGTTGTCTTTGTGTTGAACCCCATGAAATGCAAGAGACACTAAATGAATATTTCATGTTGATTGTTACTTGGAGAAAGAAATGAAGTCTAGAGAATGCAGAGAAGTAAACTTTTGTGTTTTAAAAACAGTTTACATTACAGAAGAAGAGGAAGTTCGGGAAGTCTTCGAGAATATAAAGATGGATATATCTCTGGGATCTGATCTAATGTATCCCAGTGGGAAGTAAGGGAGGAAATTACGAGACCCCTTGCAGAAATATTTGCATCATCTAATACTAAGGGTAAGGTGATGAATGACTGGAAGGTGGTGGATGTTGTACCTTTGTTTAAGAAATGTTGTAAGGAGAAACAGGGGAACTATAGACCTGGGAGTCTGACTTCAGTTGTAGGTGATTTTATAAGAATGAATTTATGGACATTTAGAGGGATAGTTAGCATGGATTGTGTGAGGAAGATAGTGTCTCACAAACTTGAGTGAGTTTTTCTGAGGAAGTTACCAAAAAAGTTTGATGATGGCAGAGCAGATGTTGTTTGTTTGGATTTTAGTAAAGCCCTTGACAAGGTTCTGCATAGGAGACTAATTAGTAAAGTTAGGTCACATGGCATTCAGGGTGAGCTTGCCAGTTGGATACATAATTGGCTTAATGGCTGGAGACAGAGAGTAATGGTGAAGGGTTGCTTTTCAGCTGGAGGCCTGAGACTAGCGGTGTTCCACAGGGATCGGTTCTGGGTCCTCTTTTGTTTGTCATTTATATAAATAATTTGGAGGAGAATATAGAAGGCGTGGTTAGTTTGCGGACAACACCAAAATTAGTGGCATTGTATACAGTGAAGAAGGTTGTCTAAGATTACAAAGGGATCTTGATGAAATGGATCAATGGGCTGAAAAATGGCAGATGGAGTCAATCTGGATAAATGTGAGGTATTGCATTTTGGCACAACAAACAAGGGTAGGGCTTATACAGTTAATGGTAGGGCCTCAGGTAATCTTGTAGAACAGAGGCACCTAGGGGGTGCAGCTACACATTTCTTTAAAGTTTGCGTCACATATAGACGGGGTGGTTAAAAGGCGTTTGGCATGCTTGTCTTCATTGCTCAGTCCTTTGTGAATAGGAGTTGGGACATTTTGTTGAAGTCGTACAGGACATTGGTGAGGCCTCTTCTGGAATACCATGTCCAGTTCCAGTCACACAGTTATAAAAGGATATTATCAAGCTGGAGAGGGTTCAGAAGCCATTTACCAGGATGTTGCTGGGTATAGAAGGTTTGAATTATAAGGAAAGGCTGGATAGGCTGGGATTTTTCTCACTGGAGCATAGGAGGTTGAGAGGTGACCTTATAGTAGTTTATAAAATCATGAAGGGTATAGATAAAGTTGATGGTAGTTGTCTTTTCCCTAGGATGGGGAATTTCAAGACTAGGGGGCACATTTGTAAGGTGAGAGGAGAGAGATTTAAAAAAAGAAAGACTTAAGAAGCAAATTTTTTGTTTTTTTTTTACAGAGGGTGATTCGTGTGTGGAATGAACTTTCTGTGGAAGTGGAGGATGCAGGTACAATAACAATGTTTAAAAGACATTTGGAAGGATATATGAATAGGAAAGGTTTGGAGGGAAATGGGCCAGGAGCAGGCAGGTGGGACTAGTTTAGTTTGGGATTATGTTTGACATGAATTGGTTGGACTGAAGGGTCTGTTTCCGTGCTGTAGGCCTCTGATTTCATTAACTAATTGTGGAAAGCACACTGCAATTCCTGATATAAACTTAAAATACCGAAGGTGTTGGGGATCCGAAATAAAAAGAAAAAGTAGTTTTGGCAGCATCTGCAGAAAGAGAAACAGATTTAATATTTCAAGGCTGTTTATGTTATTGTTATTTCAAAACTGGAGGGGGCTGGAAATTATGTTTTCTCACTGTGTTGATGAACAGGGAGGAGGAGCAACCAGAACAGATTCTGAGGTTGCCCAGAGTAGAGACAAGTGGAGTAGTAATGGTAGCAAAGGAGAGATTTAGATGAAGAATGTGTGTTAGTGGTCAGTATTAACAGTTGATAATAGGTCAACTCTGCTGACAGCAAATCTATGCGGACATGACATTGATGGGGTAAGGGGATTATTCAAAAAAAAAGGACAGGGTTCATGGTCCAGAGTTGTTGAACTCAATGTTGAGTCCTGAAGGCTGTAAAGTGCCTAAGTGGAAAATTAGGTGCTGTTCCTCCAGCTTGTTTCAGGCTATTCTGGAGCACTGCAGGTGGCCTAGGACAGAAATGTTAGCATCTCTGAAATCTACAGCCAGTGGGCTAGGCACGCTCATTGAGAACATAGCCTTTTTAGTTCTATGCCCCAACAAATTTACAATAGCATTCATTTGAATCAGTTGTTCTTATTCTTATCCAACTAACGTAACACTAAGTATTCCAGTTTTTGTAGTTTATATCTTCCAATTTTTGCTCCTATTCATATTGGGGTGAAGCACCCATATGGCCAATAGAACTTCAGTAATTCACTCAAAACCATTCCCAGAGAGCAAATGTCAACTAGTTTCTCGACTTGGGTCACGGATACTGGAGCGGAACTCAACTTCAAATTGCACATAGGTTCCCAAATCATTTTGAATTGTGAGGCATTTCTTTGGAGTGTCAGGAGTGAATGGACTGGAGCAGTAAGACTGTCATATCAGGTCTGCTGTCAAAACCTTTCAAGCTTACCCATGGCCAAATGGAGAGATGAAGTAAAGGCAGCAGTGAATTCGGTTGTCCACAATATTTTTCCTGTTCACACCACTCTCATCACGGAAATACTGCTCAAACTGCTGGTCGATGTAATCAGCAATTGGTTTCCAGCTGAAGAAGAAATAAAACCAAATTCACAAGAAGTTACATTGGCAAACCACAGAGATGTGATTCGCTAAGAGGGGAGAGGGGAAGGAAAACAACTACCATTACCAGTTGTCTCTCATCATGCAGAGTTATGTTAACAGCACCATGCTTTTGAAATGGCCTGGGGTGTCACTGTTCCATCAGTGAAGGCGAATGACAATTGATTCTACGATATCGGGAGAGGAATGCCAATAGCACTGTGACATTGAGGATGGTGAAGGTCAATAGCTCTGGGTCATACTGACATAGAAATGTGAAAAATTTGGGGAAAAGCAGATTTCAATAACACTGTATCAAAGCAAGAGATCAACTTAATGAAATAACAAAAGGATTTACTATTAACAAAGCTTTTTAAAAAGGCAAGAGAGGAATCTATTTTGCCTGATGGGTTGTGATAGTAAAGGGGACATGTAAAAGATTATACCATAACAGATTAGGGCAAGTGCCAGGTATAATCAGAGTAAGGGTAATGAGAGTATTAGCAATTTGTATTGTAGTGAAGGAACACCATTCAGCACAGTGACAGTGTTACAGGATCAGGAAGTCACTTCTTACATCTTGAAAGCTATTCATCACTCAAGTTGATGAACACAGTTTTTAATTTCATGCATTATGTTCTAATTACCGAGACAGAGCCAACTCTCCAGGCCACCTTCTTCTAAGCTGTCATTTTACAATGTGTTTTTTGCTTCTTATTTATTCTACAGAAGCAAACTGTTAGCTCCACGTACCATTCTTGGTTATTTATAGCATCACCAAATCCTGGCGTGTCTATGATTGTTAGCCGAAGCCGAACTCCTTTCTCCTCAATTTCCACCGAATGTTTGGTGATATCAACGGTCTGGGTGATCCTCTCTGGAAAGACAAAGAAAGTTGGGTTAGCACTGCAGTTAAACTATATAAAATTCAAGGATGAGGACAATCTTTAATGTACGGTTTGCAATGTCCTTATTTCCCAAATAAAAAATCTCATCCTTTTGACCTTTGTCACTTAAAGATTACATTTAAGTCCAGACTGGATGTATTGAAGTGTAACATTGAAACAAGGATCTGAATAAAGTCCCGACTAAGGAGAATAAAGATTCCTCTTTCTATCCTTTCTCAATGGTCAGCACTCCTGCCTCACAGCACCGGGACTTGGGTGTGATTCCAGCCTCGGGCAACTGTCTGTGTGGAGTTTGCACATTCTCCTGTGTCTGCGTGGGTTTCCTCCGGGTGCTCCAATTTCCTCCCACAGTCCAAAGATGTGCAGGTTAGGTGGACTGATCACGTTAAATTGCCCATCATGTCGAGGGATGTGCAGGCTAGGTGGATTAGCCATGGAGAAATGTGGGGTTAGGGAGTTAGGGTCGGGGTTGGGTCTGGGTCAGATGCACTTCGGAGGGTCAGTGTGGACTCGATGGCCAAATGGCCTGCTTCCATACTGTAGGGAATCTATGTTCTATGTTCTATCAACTGTGAGCACCAACAGACCTCAATCCCATCGCCAGACCACAGAAGTTTGGTAATTCTCAATCCAATTCTTTAGTAGAATGGGTCAGTATACACAATTGACATTAATTCAATTTGATTCTAAAAATCTTAGTTTGAGGCCACAGATGGACCTCTATGGGAAATGAAATGAAAAGTCTGATGAGGTGTCACTTCTGAATTTCAGTAGAGACATGAGCTGGGGTTGTCCAGTTTGCAGTTTGATTATAGCATCAGGTTCAATAAGGCTGTCACTTCCACCACAACCTGTAATAGTTTTCTTCCTTGATTACACACTTTTCAGCACATCTTTTGTGCAAGAGTAGTAGTAGCACAAGTTAATCAGCAAATTACATGGACTGGGTAGGCAGGGGATTCTCACCACTGTCTGAACCTTGCACAGTTAAAAATTCACATGCCATTTTGGGGGGGTTGGGGGGGGGTGGGGTTGGGAGAGGGGATGGTGGCTCAGTGGTTAGCACTGCTGCCTCACAGTGCCAGGGACCCGGGTTCGATTCCACCCTCGGGTGACCTCTCTGTGTGGAGTTTGCACATTCTCCCCATGTCTGTGTGGGTTTCCTCCCACAGTCCAAAGATGTGCAGGCTATGAGGATTGGCCATGCTAAATTGCCCGTAGTGTTCAGGGACGTGTAGCTTAGGTGGGTTATGAGGGATGGGTCTGGGTGGGATGCTCCAAGGGTCGTTGTGGACTTGTTGGGCCAAAGGGCCTGTTTCCACACTGTAGAGATTCTATGATTAAAGGCCACATAAGCACTACTTCATTCTTATGTCAGGACGATGGAAGGAACTCGTGTGGATTTTCCATACCTCTCCAGATATATCACAAAACAGACACAAGTTATCCCCTAGGGATATTGAGTCCTTGTTTGGAGGGTCTACTGCAGGCTGCCTAGAAAGAAGGGAGGTGCTCTTCTGTAGTGCTGGCACCAGGACGACTTCCCAGCAGACCCAAGTGGCATGGGCTGATATCACAGAACTGATCAGTGCCTATGGCTGTCGCCAACATACCCAAAGGACACAATGCAGATACAGGATGCACAATTTTCTGTGCTCCATTATGTTAAGCTCACTGCAAAATCCTTTTAGTGGTAACAATTCACCACTGTACAGGCATCTCATGTTGGCTGCAAGCTTCAGGATCACATGAATGCTTACGCCACCTCTGTACTGATTGTAACAAGGTCAGGCAGCTGGACCTCGTAGAATGAGTTCCCTCATTGGGGCTGTTAATGCAGTCTAATCAGGGAGCCCTGGCTGACAGATAAAAAGGGGAGTGTCAGTGATACTGACACCCTGGTACCTGACTCTGAATGAGGCAGTACTATAGTCAAAGACTCTTCATGTGTAAGTAACGGGTGATTTGGTGACTGGATACTAGCCTCTGAAGAGTAATTTCAACCTTTATGCTGCAAATCTTCTGACACTTTCTGGGTACCATGCTTCCTACTCCCCTGCTCGGAGTGGGGGGGCACATCACCTTGCATTCTCACCAACTGTTTAATAGCACATTCCCATCTGACTACATTGTTTTGTCTCTCATTCTCTCTCACTCCGAGAGACAGTACCCAACAAGGTGAAGCCCAGACTGGTGGAAAGGTGCCGGATTTCCACCTCAACACCAAATCCAAGGAGCAGGCAGTGAAGCTGATGGGTAGAGACTGTGAGAGGCTCAATGCCAATGGAGCAATTGGCCATGGCAGAACCCAGTGAGGAATATTGCAGTCTGTTCATCTCAGATGTGCAGGCAGTCCTGCACATTCCTCTAGATAAGGATTTGTCACCAACTAATTCTTTTGTTTCTCTTCTGCTGGTACTAGCACTCAACAGCAAACATAAAAGTGCAAAAGTCCACAGCCTAAGTCCAGCACCACCACCAGCATCTCCATTGAGAATGACATCTCTGAAACCTCAAATAATGCATTGGCATAGGGTTCACTTGGACGTTCTACCAGCACAGAAATACACACTTGCCCCTCCTCCATGGGTACCTTAACTACAGTAGTAGCTTTAGGGACTGCATTTGGTGAGAACTGGTGTGTATTAATACCGAAGAATGCCGTAAATGCCACCGATTTTGAAATATTACAGGCTTGTGGAAGGAACAGCTTAGGAACTTGGAGGGGGCTGTGATATCTAAAATTCGAGTCCTCCTTAAAATCTCCAGCAAAGTCAATCATCTCACTGTAATTTGTGGCTAACATGCAATATTGTTTAATACATAAATCTCATCTAGTTAGACCAGTATGTGATTTTCCTCTACTAGGGAACTGGTCACCAAAGAAAAGTGGGATTTATCCATTTTCCTGTGAAACGTTGGGAATATAACACTTCAGCCACAAGAAGATGGAAATCCTTCATTGTGGCCACAAAACATGGGAAAACCCATTAGTACAGCAGCATAGAGCGGTAGCATTGTTATAACTGCATAGGGAAAGCTCTAAAACAAGTTAAATAAATAATTACACTCAGAAGACATGACATCAGAAATAAAATTGCCAGGATGATTTAATTTCAGGGATGGGTCAAAAACACAGCACTGGATATTTTGAAGAAAACAGTTCTTACTATGCAGAATTGTTCCAAAATAGATGCTGAATCAAAAGCAGAACAAGAAAATACACTTCTTTGCAAATTGTGAGATTAGATGATGTCAATGCTTGCAAAGGGGTGAAACAAAGCAAGAGATATTTTTGAAGTACTGAAAGTCTTTCACAATTACTGTAATGCCAGATAATGTAGCTGTCTAAAGGGCATGATTTACTGGAAGAACTCAACATCCAGAGGAATCCAACAATAATTTCATTTATAATCTCTAGATTAGTGAAAAAATGCAATAATCGTGATTCAGAGTCAGAATTCATGAGAAAACAAAATTGTTATCTGGATTGCTGGCGAATCTCTCAGATTTATTACAGTCCAAAAATCACCAGACTCCAGAGAAATTAATTTAGATGGTGAGTGAAACCGAAGTCCAGAAGCAACACAAGTCAATCCTAAAATGAGAAATCTTATCTTGCCATAAGAATTCCATGAAACATGGAACACAGAATTCATTAGTACAAAAACTATAAATGAGACAAGTGAGAAACAGCATAGTGAGTGGGACAGGTAAGAGACATTAAGACTTCTTGTTACAAAAGAGCCCACTAATTAAAAGTGAATGCTTTGTCACATGATAGATTATTTTCATAAAATGTGCAAAAGTGGAGTAGAGTTTCAGAAAAGCAAGAATCAAATAACTACCCGTAAGGTTAATGAGGTAGAATAGTTTACAATTGAAGAAAAACCTAAAATATTTCTGGGGGAAATGTGTGATACAGACCTTACATTTTGGGAAGTTGATATTTATGTCAATGGTCATTCAAGAAATTTCAAGTTACGCACTGGAGCAAGTGTCACTATATTGTCAATGAGTGAGCCATGGTTAAGTAAACAATGTGCACAGCTAACAACATTGCACCTGCATTATCCAGAAGGTTATGATTAAAAGGCAAGCTACAAGCAACAGTCTAAAATAGGGGATGCCAAATAGTCAAACACCAGGTGTACCTCACAATCAAGAATTCTCAGTCGAGTAGGAATTCACGTTTAGCACTCAATCTTCTACAAATGGTGGAAGGAGTTTAAATTATTTAGTCAAGAATTAACTGGTCAAGGAACAGCCTATTAAATTACGTGTCAAAGGACAACTAGAAGATTTCATAGATTTCCCTTACAAATAGTAGAGTCAAAACAAAACTAAATCCATTGACATTACCTATGTTGGCATAAGACATATTTTCACTTTGTGAATAAGATGGGAACTGTCAATACTGGGAGGGGCAGAAATGTTTTCCACCACTATCAACACCAGAGAGTGTTCAAGTTACACGAATCAGCAAGATTTTTGAGAAAGCGCAATGAGATAGTCAGTGAACAGTATTCCCCTGTGGAGTCACTTGATGAATCTATAACTGAATGAACTCAGACAGCAACACAGCTCGGTCAACAAATAACTCGGGTAATCACATCTGTTAGATGCTGAGGTAATTTGGAAGGGATACTTTCAAATGGAATATTTGACTTCCTTATCTTCTCAGGAAGAATCTCCAGTAAGAGTGACAGAGATCATTTCAAGCAAGAAGCAATTCTCAAAATCTCCAAAGAAATCTCTACCTACTTTTGGCATTGTCCTTCAAAATCGACAGAGAAATGCACACCTAGAAGACAATATTGTGAAATTCACTGTATACGTCAGCCTTTCCAGGTACCAAGCCCCTTGTGTTGTCCACTAGTACCTCCCATTGTTTTCACTTGCTTTCCATGTGGCCATATGACCCTCCATTCTCCACCCTCACAACCAGATTTTTTTTTGCCGAGCCCTCACTGTCATCATTAACGTTCCCATTATACTCCCGGAGCCCTTTACTTTTTAGGACGACCCCCCCCCAATCCTGACATTCACCCTTCAGTCTCACCCCAATGTGTATTCTCCTTGACCCTCAGCTGTCAAAATCTACCCTAACGTATTCAGCTGTGACTATTCCCTACACTGCACAATACCTCCAGACAGGAGCTTCGGGACTGATCTCATGGACAGGTGATGGCCTAGTGGTAATATCACTATACCCAAGTCTCTGGGTTAATAGTAATGTCTCAGGGACCCAGGTTCGAATCCCACCACAGCAGATGGTGGAATTTGAATTCAATAAAAATCTGGAATTAAGGGTCTAATGATGACCATGATTCCATTGTCGATTGTTGTAAAAACCCAACTGGTTCACTAGTGTCCTGTAGGGAAGGAATCTGCCATCCTTATCTGGTCTGGCCTACATGTGACTCCAGACCCACAGCAATGTGGTTGACTCTTAACTGCCCTCTGGGCAATTAGGGATGGACAATAAATGCTGGCCTAGCCAGTGATACCTCCATCCAATGAATGAATACAAAAATGTTGCCCACAGCAGGGCTGATGCCATGAACAAGGCCTTCAGTACCCTAAAATGGCTTCTGTCTGTGCCCTCCTCCCCAGACTGCATTCAAGCACTTCCACCCCCTCAGACTGACTGCCTCATGTTGCTGGATGGGCCAGACACATCTTCATGCTGCATCAATAGCCCACATGTGGAAGTTTAATGCTGACATTGATTGATCAAAATCTGATGTCCTCAGAATAATCCTAGCCTACACTGGCACCAAATTGACCAATGTGCACTTTTAGATCCTGTTTAAGACTGTACAGGAAAACAACACGTAATGAAGCTTCAATGATTCCAATCCACTTGTTCCCAGAAGTGCGAACTGGGCAAAAAAAAGTCACGTGACACCACTGTTATTCTCACATAATTGCAATATTAGAAGAACACCATTGACCGATGCACTGAGTATCAATGACATCCTCTTCCAACTTGATCCAGCTACTGGGCAGTCTGAAGGGCATGAGAAAAAGGTAATTCATGCTATTTTAGCACAACCAGACTGTTTCCAAAAAAAAAAAAAATTACCTTAAGAGTTTGACAGAGAGGAAAAAAATATTTACAGCATATTTTGTTTCCAATATTGCAAAGATATTTTCCAATGCTGCTGATCTCATCAAATGCAGACTGTCCCATTTCCACTGAACACCGAAGATCAATCAGACTACTTCAACAAAAATCTGACCTTCTGTATTGAGGAACTTCTTGTCCTTGTACAGGTCTGTAAGGAAAAGGCTGTTAACCAGGGTTGATTTCCCAAGGCCGGATTCCCCTGAAAGGAAGCAACAAAAGGAAGGTCAGATTTGAGCCATTGAACATTTATGTACATTCATAGACATCCAATTTTTTTGTGGTTGGGCACACAGGTCAAGAGACTATAGAGATCCAGCCTGTTTGATTTACAAGGGTACACCGTCTGAAATACATTACTGACTGAATTTCAGACCTAACGTGACTCAGTTTCGCCTGTAAACTAGTTTGAAAACTAGGACATGCAACTTAATTTTTTAACTAATGCCTTTGGTTGGGGAGGCCTGTGTGCATTGGAAAATGTTTCCCAGTACCACCATCTATGTCTGGGACAAACTACTCAGTTTGCCAGTTGTTAGAATAAACTTGTACTTGTGCTATGGCTACAACGGTGAGATCGCTCTTGTGCAGCAGCTTCTCAAGTTGCACTGAGGTTCTCCGTCTGTCATGGTGGTATTGCTCGCAGCTGATATGATTGGGCTAGCTGCTGATCACAGTACTGCAAACTGTTACTGTACTCTATCCACATGTATACACTGACACAAGTCATTACCAAATGAGCAAGCCTGCAAGGACCATGATTCTTTTTTATTCTTTTATGGGATGTGGGCATCACTTGCTAAGCCAGCATTTGTTGCTCATGCTTAAAAACCCTCCAGAATAAGTGGTTGTGAGCTGTCTTCATGAAATCCTGCTGTCTTTTCAACGTAGGTGCACCCACAGTATTGTTCGGAAAGGAGTTCTGGGATTTTGATCTGACGATAGTGTTGGAATGCGGATACATTTCCAAGTCAGGATTGTGTGTGGTTTGAAGGGGAACTTGCAGGGTCCCTCCCAGTGGAAGGTGCTAAGTTACTGCAGTACATCTTGTAGACAGTACAAACTGCTACTGCTGTGCATTGATGCTAAAGGGAGCACGTTAAAGATGTTCGATGCCAATTAAGTGAGTTGCTTTCTCCTAGATTGTGTCAAGCTTGAGAGTGTTGTTGGCGCTACCCTCATCCAGGTAAGTGGGGAACATTTTGCCAGGTAGATGGTGAGGCATTTGGGAAGTCAGGAAATAAGTGACTCACTACAGAATCCCAGCCTGTGATTTGCTCATGTAGTGACAGCATTCATATGGTCAGTCCAGTTCAGTTTGAGGTTTCAGCAATGTCAACACCATTGAATGTCAGGGGGTGATGGTCACATTGTCATTTGTTTGAAATGGTCATGGCCTGGGACTCGTGCGGTGTGAATCTTACTCGCTAGTTATCAGCTCAGACCTGGATATTCATCGAGGTCTTACTACATATAAACACAAGTGCTTTAGTACCTGGGGAGACACACAACAGTGCTAAACGTTGTGCAATCAGCAAACATCCCCACTTCTGACCTAATGAAAGGGAAGATCATTGATGAAGCAGCTGAAGGCGGTTGGGACTAAGATACTACCCTGAGGAACTCCTGCAGTGAAGTCCTAGAGCTGAGATGATTGACCTTTAACAACCACAACCATCTTCCTTTGTGCTAGGTATGACTCCTACTGGCAGAGAGTTTTCTACCTGATTTCCATCGATTCCAGTTTTGCTAGGGATCCTTGATACCACACTCAGTTTAATGCAAGCTTGATGTCAATGGCAGTCACTGCCACCTCACCTCCAGAATTCAGCTCTTTTGATCATGTTTGGACAGAGGCTCAAATGAGGTCAGGAGCTAAGTGGGCCAAACTGAAACCACACGGAGCCTCAGTGAGCATGTGATTGCTCAGCAGGTTCTGCCTGGTAACACTGTTCACAACCCTTCAACACTTTCCTGACTATAAAGAGTAGACTTTTAGGGTGGCAATTTGCCAGTTGGACTTGTCCTGCTTTTGCACAGAGGACGTTCCTGAGCAATTTTCCTCACCGCCAGGTAAATGTTAGTGTTGCAGCTGTTCTGGAATGCTTGGCTAGGGGCACAGCTAATTCTGAAGCATGAGTCTTCAGTACTATTGCAGAATATTATCAGGGCCTGTAACATTCACACGTTCAGTGTCTCCAGTCATTTCTTGATATCACATGGAGTGAAACATGTTTGTTGAAGACTGACATCTGTATTACTGGAGAAGCCAGGAGATGGCCAAGATGGATTATCCGCTTAGCATTTAACACCTCATACAGATTTATGCCTGGTACTGCTCCTGGCATGTCCTCATGCACTCTCCATTGAATCAGGGTTGATCTCTTGGCTTGATCAGAATGATAGAGTGGGGGACATGCTGGGCTATGAGGTTACAAGTTATTTGAATATATTCTGCTGATGCTGATGGCTCACAACATCTGGATGGATATGCAGTTTTGAGTTGCTTGAATGTTTTTAAAAGTCTGTCCCATTTAGCATGGTGACAGTGCCCGACAACACAACGGTGGGTATCCTCAATGCAAAAAAGGAATTTCTTTGGTATTACCAGAGCAGAATGCCTGGCGTTATTAAAGACTGGGAGCTTAGTATTACCAAAATGGAATGTTGCTAGTGTGTCTAGCTTTACCTCTGCACCAGAAGTAACTTAGCAATATATCTCAGTTAATGATCAAAATTCTATAAAAACAAACTGTTTTACCTGCCACCAGTAGTGTGAAATCAAACCCTTTCTTTACTGACTTGCGATGAACCTGGTTGGGTAATGTTGCAAAGCCAACATATTCTTTATCCTGGTCCTGTGGGATTAAACAAGGATGTGTTATTCACTAATTACTATGTAACTGAAAATCAAAACACCAGTCACATCCTTTGAACTTCCTCAATGCTTTCCATCTTCCATTTCTCACTACACTATGATCACGATTCTCCTTTTCAGTCTCAGTTTCTTTGCTTTCCATTCCATGTGCTGCTGATTCAACTCTCTGCTCCCCTCACTCGCTGCCAATTCCATCATTTGCACCTCACCACTCTACATGACCTAATTTTTCTCATGTGTAGGTTTTAATGGCTTCTTTCTCTAAACTGAAAGTATGTACAGCAGAGATCACATGACTGAGAACAATGTGCCTATAAGTACATTTCTCCAAACATTCCTCATTTCATCAAAAAAATTGCATACACTATCTATCCAAAATGCATTGTCTAAACCAAAAATGGTCATTCATGACTAAATACTGTGGGTGGAACCTTAAAGTCCTGGAGTAGGCACAAAGAATGCTGGGTGGGAGAACTTAAGTGGGTGAGGGTCAAAACATTAGATTTTTGTCAGTGGGGTAAACCTTTGCAATGAAACTCTCCAACTTTAAAAGGTGGGTTGACTTCACACTGCAGATATAAAGAAACCTATCCGCATGTATTTTCATCTCATTGAAATCAACTTTCTGGAATTAAAAGTGTTTGTTCCCACATGACATGATGAGTAGAATGGACCATTTGGCCCTTCAAGCCTGCTGCACCTTTCACTAAGTCAGTGATCTGCTAGTGATCTCAACTTCACTTTCCTGTCTGCGCTACACAACCCTCAATATCTTGTCCATCACTTTCCTGTCCATACTCTACTCTCAATTCCCTATTCCATCACTTTTCTGCTGAAAGTCCATAACTCTCAACTCCCTTGTTCACCACTTTTGTGTCTATACTCCATAACTCTTGACTTCCTTCTCAGTCAAGAATTAACTCAATCATGAATAAACTTAAAACTGAGCGTTTTCCCATCTTCTTGGGAAGAGAATTCTACATTCCAAGAACTCTAAGAAAAGATTTCTCCCTATCTCTGTATTCAAATAGAAACCATTTATTCTTAAACTGTGTCCTTAATTTTCTTTCAACAGTAAACTTCCTCTAGGCATCCAAACTTTCCAGTTCCCTCGAGGTCCTGTATTTTCCCAATTAAGTTCCACACAATCGTGAAATCAGTCCTTTCAGATACCCAACTGCAAAAATAAATGTGTACCCAGTAACATTCACTTTTTCCTGGACTTTGAAGTGAATACTTGCTGCTCTGGTCTTATTGTGATATGGTTTTAAATAATGGTTTCAATGAGTTGCACTGTAAGGTCTTCAAGTACAGTTCAAGCAACAAAAGGAGAGGCATCTCCAGCAGTCCACCAAGGGTCAGAGACCTCAGATGTGGCTTCCTCCACCAACTGTGTGTCAGTGATGTGCTCAAAAGATTGTGACTCCAAGCCAACTCTGGAGAGTGGATCCAACCAAGTTCAATATCTCTGGTGGAGGGTGCAGCTGTACATGTTACGGATGTAGTGTTGGGGACATTATTCCCAGAGGTGCTGATGCTGCTGGGGCAGGTGCCAGTGTTTTGATTGCTCCTCTTGTGGTAGCCACTAGTACATGCGGTGGAGAAGAGAAAGAATTAGCTGCTGGAGATGCACAGTCCTTTGCATTGGCAATGTCTGATACGGTCTGTGCATCACAGAACAGCACACTGGAGGTTTCCTCACTGGCTTCCTAGGACAGTCCTATCTTTCCATCAGCACAGAAATAGTCACTCTCATTCTTTGCCACCTCAGTTGCCTACTCCTCGAAAGTGGTGGGAATACAAATATCTGACCTCCCCCTATTGGTCTGGGAGGGCTCACTCCTGTTATGGGTAACTTTGCCCTGCAGACATAGAAAGAGGAGTTATTGAGTGTCACCGCAATGGGTTCATGAGCACGTTATGAGCATGTGTAGCAATGCCTGATCCTGAGCGCTCCTCAGTAAGAGATTTACTACCACACTGACAATGCAACTGGTAAACAGTCGCCAGCATGACGCAGCTCTCCACTACATCTAGTGCATGTGGTGCTTGCAGCTGGTCATCCATTTGAGAAATCCCTCTGTACTGGCACAGTTAGACTGAGTAGCGCCTCCATGACTGTCGGTTGGTACTGCAGCCTGATTCTCCAGTGAGAGCACTGGTCTGTGATGTGACCTTGGTCTATGCCGCCTTAAATTAGTTTGGTGGTGGTGAGGGGGGGGGGGGGGGGGGGGGGGAGAAGGTGGTGGTGGTGGTGGTGATGGTGATGAAGGTATCTGCCACCATCTGAGGATCTCCTCCTTTCCTGGATGATCTGCTCCACAACAGGTTTGCAATGACAGGAGGACAGGTGGACAGGTGGCAGCCCTTCAAACATGGCACTGGAACCTTTGATCTTGAAAGTTCCTGGGAGGGTTGAGCACTTCCTGAAAATTTGTTGGTCATCTTGTGCAACAACTCAGATGCAAAGTAATAAGTTGGTAACTACATGATTATGCACGTAAACTTGCGCTGCCCTTGAACAGAAGTAATGACTCCCATTACAGAATATATGTGTGGCGTTGGATGTATTAGAAGATTCCACCCTGTGCGTGTCATTCCATGCTATCACTTTCAGCAGTCTCTGATCATGCATTTCGATCAATCTCTAGAGCATGCAGGTCTTTTAATGGTATGTATGCAAGTTGTCATTAACTGTTCTTCTGGTGTCTGCTAATTCACGGATTGAAGTTGTCACTTCCTTGATTACTCCCCTCTTTCGCAGCTCCTCCGCCTGGTCTTTCAGGCTGGCCTTTCAGGATGGCAACAGGAACGCACCTCAGCAGTTGTCGAGTAGCGCTCTCTCTCACATCTATTTTAAGATGATATTCACTGGGAATACATTCAAGGCCCATGAAAAG